GAACCGAACTCGAACGGTTGTGTTCATGAAGAAAAAAACAGTCGACACTCCTGCAGCTAAATCATAAGTAGCAGAAAAGCACCAGATTCATCACTGTTTCCACTGCATGGAATACAGCAATATCGCATATATTTAACAACACAATCTGCCAAATGTATAACCATCTATCAGTTGATTACACCTACATCAGCGGGGATCAGAAATACAACGTACGCGCATAGGGCAGTCATAGCTACTATCCGTATGCAACTGTCGGGAGGGGATGGATATCTTGATCAGGTCTTTATAGATATTGCATGGCCGTATTAACGGTACTCATAACTGACCCATTGGTGACAGTTCCCACTCTATCTTTGGCAATCCTTTCTGCTTCGGCGTGTCGTTTTTCAGTATCAGTGTGATGACAGTCGTCTGCTCGTTTACAATATCGGTGTGGCAGGTGTTATTCGTGAAATCAATAACTGAACACTCATCATCTTCAATATGGAATGGCTATTATTATTACAAGAAAGATGCTGAAAAAAGTACATATTTCAACTTAGACCATGATACAAAGTAAAGCCGTATTCAATATTCGAAACAGAAGTGAAACGAACACAAATCTCACGCCTTATGATGATCCGGAAGAATGATAAAGATGGAGTTGGCAGCTGATCGCTTATGGTGTGCGTGCATATTTCAACGTAAAGCCGGTCGACTGATCGAAAGGTCGCGCTTGAGATCGACGTACGTCGAGGCTATGTGCCGGCTGCCGGCTGGTCATGGTGGTCGTCGTCATACGCGACCATCGAAGAGCTATTTTAATTAATAACCGTCTAGCTGCACGCCAGTTAATGGCTAATTACGTTAAGTTGGTTAGCACCATCGGCATCGATGTTCATCAATCGCGAGCCGCACATACTTTTACCTCGAAACAAAGCCGAAGCGAAAATATCCACTGAGTTGCAGTGCACGCAGAACAGGACGAGCACGCGACGCAGCTCTACAGTCTACGAAATACCGGTCTCCAAAGACCAATCTATTGCTGGCGGCGACGGATGACGAGTCTGTGATGGATACCGCCGCCGCCAGAGGTCGACCGAGGGTACGGCCGACTGGACCAAACAAAATACACCTGATGAAGGCTTGTTGCTGAGGTGAAGAGAACCGACAGGAGTGTTGCGTCCCCACGGGCGGCGCGACGGTTTCGCTCCTGCCTCGGCAGCGGCTACGACTAATGATCATTAATTAGGCAAGACGAGGAGGTGATTATTCGACGAGCTTACCTTTCGCGACGGCGGCCGTGGCATCGAGTAAGGCGGCAACGGCGGATCTCATTTCCCCGCGCAAACAAGCCTTACATTAAAGATGGACCCTTTGTTATTTAACCAGCTGCTTCTTCAATTTCACAAAGCGGCGCTAATTAATTTCTCGGTGCCTTTAACGTGCGCAGACGGACGACGATGATTAGGATGAAAACAGAGGGATGACTCGTACGGATTATTAGATAGTTAGCGACATGCGAGACGCTCATGAATAAACATGGCTTATTAACAGAACAACACACAAGTTCGCGTTTTGCACCCGTTCGTTCCACAGGTCCCTCGAGGACATGCGAGTCCATCAAGAACACGCAACTTACTCAAGACTCGACTCAACGATCCGCATTCACGATTACCTGTTTCTGTCTTGTTGCCGGTATTACGATAACCAAGTCATGAAGCGAAACTATAGATCGTGTTAACTGGCTTTCCTTAAACTTTTCCGCGGGGTACGACTACGGGATGCAGATACCGAGACGACACCACAATAGACGAAAGGAGACGAATACGAAGCCGCAGAGACTGTGAACTGACATGAGGTGAGGTGCATTCGCGGGCCAAGATAGAGCTGGTTCATCTCTATAGTAATGCCGATTCGGGCCCGCCCAAAAAGACGCGACGTGACCAATGAACGGCGCGCTGACGCCGATTCGTTTACTGATTGGCCAATTAGCCGAAACCATTACCGCTGAGAGTGCACATCTCTCGCATCGAGGGCCATAATGGCGAGAGCAATCACGATCAGCATTCCCATTCGACGATTTATTGCGTTGCGCTGAGCACGTGCTCCGCTGCTATAAAAAACTAACATTTTCCGATACACCTCTGTCGCCCGTTAATCGTCGGTCGATTCAATATATTTTTCTCGCTTTAAGACTCGAGCGGCGGTGACTGCGATTTCCGGTTGATGTGAAGCTAATTCTCGGTACTTTGGAGAGCAGTTTCAAGTGGCTTTCTCCAAGTCTGAAGAACCGCCAAACAATGTGTTTCATTCTTGTTTTAATTTATTCATTATTTTCTGAGGAAGCAACAACTTCACGAAGCTTCATGAGTGGTCCAGGTTCTTCACAGCTTGATCAAGCTCCGCTGACTAGATTTGAAAACGCGACAGTTAAAAGTACTTAATGTCGCTGAGCATAAGTTACATGCCTTTGTCGTTTCATGTGTCCATTCCAAGCCGTGCCAGCCATCGGTTGTGAAAGCTTTCTCCAGATAGTCAAGCTCCTTTGTCTGCTCGAT